ATCCTCCCACCTCAGCCTCCTGAGTACCTGGGACTATAGGCACATACCACTATACCTAGCTAATTTTTCTACTTTTAGTAGAGATGGGGTTTGCCTTGTGGCACAGGCTGATCTGAAACTCCTGGGCTCAAGTGACCCACCCATCTCGACCTTCAGAAGTGCTGGGATTACCCACCACAAAGAAAATGTTTATGAGAATGAATATGATGACTTCCATTTTTGAAAATATGGAAGACTAGTCACCTAGAGGATCATCCAGTATGAAACTAAAACTTCAGCATAAGATAAACGTGTTATTGTAAATTTTATGTTAATATTACACGTTTTATAATATATTAAAACATACATATTTTATTTTAAATTTTTTTAGAGAAAGATTCTCACTATGTTGTCCTGGATGAACTCTTGGGCTCAAGTAATCCTCCCACCTCGACTTCCCACAGTGCTAGATTACAGATGTGAGCCACCGTGTCAAGCCCTAAAATATATATTTTAAAAAAATTTTCAAATACCTGGATGGACTGATGGGAATGGAAAGAAGATTCTTGCTGTAGATAATAAGAAAATACAAATGGACCAGACATTATAGCTCATACCTATAATCCCAGCACTTTGGGAGGCCAAGGCAGGCAGATCACTTGAGGCCAGGAGTTCGAGACCAGCCTGGCCAACATGGTGCAACCCTGTCTCTACTAAAAATGAAAAAATTAGCCAGGCGTGGTGGCGCGTGCCTATAATCCTAGCTACTAGGGAAGCTGAGTTAGGAGAATCACTTGAACCCAGGAGGCACAGGTTGCAGTCAGCTGAGATCGCGCCACTGCATTCCAGTATGGGCAACCGAGTGAGACTCCGTCTCAAAAAAAAAAAAAAAGGTAAAATACAAAGTGCCAGATTTACTCTGAGGGTACCTGGCTGACCTTCGGGGTTGTATGCTAGAGAGAATAGAGGGAAACTTGAGTCCTGTAAAGACCGAGGGGACCAGCTGGCCAATATCCACATGATACCAGAATCTCAGACAGGTTACACTGTCAGAGGATTGAACTGAGACATACCTTAGGCGTACCTTGCTGGGGGTTGCCCGAGAAAGGCAAGATTTACCTACGCTTTTCGATCAGGATGAAAACTAAAAAGGTAGCAGGGAGAAATCCTTGGAGAATGCATAAGCCCAAGTTTGTTATCGTGTGTTTTGGCCAGAATTGATACCATCTGTCTTACCTTTCTCCCCCCAGAATAAAGTTGAGCCAAATATCTGGTTAAAGTGTTCCCAGCAGAACTTACTAGGGTGATGGAAGTATTCCACAACTGGGATGTAGTCATGCATAGCTGTAAATGGTACTAAAACTCAGCACTATCCAAAATAGCAAACTCATGGAGTCACCCCAGGTGCCCATCAGTGGTGGACTGGATGAAGAAAATGTAGTACATATACACCATGGAATACCACACAGCCATAAAGAAGAACAAACTCGTGTCCTTGGCAGGGAACATAGATGCAGCTGGCAGCATAAGCAAATTAATGCAGGAGGAGAAAACCAAACACACGTGTTCTCACTTATAAGTAAGAGCTAAACATTGGATACTCATGGACATAAAGGTGGAGGTGATAGACACTGGGACTGCTGAAGGCAGGGGGATGGCGAGGGTTGAATAACTACTGGATACTATGCTCAAGAAAAGAAAAAATTACTAAAACTCAAACTGTATACTTAAAATAGGTGACTTTATGGTATATAAATTATACTTTAATAAAACTGTGAAGAAACAGCAAAATGTGTCACCTACCCTCTACTTATCAGAGACTTCTGTTCATGTTTTGGCACATTTTCTCTGTACTGGTATTTCTTTGTAGGGAGACTTTTTTCTAAACCTGTCAAACTCATGGTAATAACATTTTTATCCTCTTTCATTGAAAATTATAATGTTTTCCACAGTCATTGCAGTTACTTGTAAAATGATTTTTAACTCGGGCTTATTCTGTGTGTTTCAAAAGTATGTCTTGAATACTTTCTCATTTTAAAGAAATCTTCAACAGTAGAGCGGGACATAGAACATAAATGAAAGTTCTCTCCTTAATGCTTCTCCCTCACACACATCCCAACCCCAATTCTCACTTCGCACCTCATGGGTAATCACTGTCCACAGTTTGGTTGAACAATTTTTAACTGGACGTATAATTTTGCATCTGGTGGGAAAAAAAATTATACTCAAATAGTTCTCCTGTTTGAGGACATTTAGGTTGTTTCCAGACTGAGTGCTCTCATTTAAAACCTAAGTGGCAGAGGGTGACATACACCAATAGACCTTAGATTTAATGGTCCTGTGTTACTGTGGTGATTTCCAAGTCAAGGATAGGCATTAAATTAGATATTGAATTTGGGGATAGCTTTTTTTCTTTTCTTTCTTTTTTTTTTCTTTTTTTTTTTTTTTTTGCTAAAACAGGGTCTCACTGTGTTACCTAGAGTGCAGTGGTACAATCATGGCTCACTGCAATCTCTACCTCTTGGGCTCAAGTGATCCTCCCACATAAGCCTCCCAAGTATCTGAGAGGCTTATTTTTTTCTGCTTTTTGTAGAGAGAGGATCTCACTATGTTGCCCAGGCTGGTCTTGAACTCCTGGGTTCAAGCAGTCCTCCCACCTTGGCCTCCCAAAGTGTTGGGATTATAGGCACAACCTACCGCACCCAGCTGGGGACAGTTTTCAAGTAAGAGAAGGAACCTAGCATATGCAGAGGACACCTGTGCATAAGACCCATGCTTTTCCTGCCTTTTCTCATTTAACGCACCAGCCAGTTCAAGATAAGGGATGTGATTCTCATTTTACAAATGGGAAAACTGGTTCTGAAGGGCCAAGTGCCATGCACATGCAATGCACATCCACATGCAACATCCAGTGCAGGACTTGGCTCTAAATTGTCACACCCTGAGTTGAGGGCTTGGCGATTCTGTAACAGGTCAGGGGACTCTTGCTTTACTGTCTTTACTTAATTCGGTGAACTTGGTTTAAACATCACAACTGTAAACCGCTATTAGTCTATACAGAAGCACTGAAATGTTACTGAGGTTCTTGGTTTAAGTAAGTTCCATTTGTCTGTTTTTGGCTTTGTTGCGTGTGCTTTTGAGGTCTTAGTCAGTCGTGCATTCTTTGCATAGACCAATGTCCAGAAAAGTTTTCGTAGGATTTTCTTCTAGAATTTTTACAGTTCTGGGCCATACATTTAAGTCTTTAATCCATCTTGAGTTGATTTTTGTATACAGTGAGAGATAGGAGTCCAGTTTCACTCTTCTGCATGTGACTGTCCAATTTTCCCAGCACCATTTATTGAAAATGGTATTCTTTCCCATGTCTGTTCTTATCAGTTTTGTTGAAGATCACTTAACTGGAAATATGTGGCTCTATTTCGGGTTCTCTATTCTGTTCCATTGGTCTGTGTGTCTTTGTTTTTGCTGTTTTTTGAGACAGGGTCTCATTCTGTCACCCAGGCTGAAGTGCTGTGGGGCGATCTTGGCTCACTGCAACTTCTGCCTCTCAGGTTCAAGTGATTCTTCATCTCAGCCTCCCGAGTAGCTGGGGCTACAGGCACACGCCACCATGCTCAGCTAATTTTTATATTTTTTGATAGAGATAGTATTTTACCATGTTGGCCAAGCTGGTCTTCTACCTCCTGACCTCAAGTGATCTTCCCGCCTCAGCCTCCCAAAGTGCTGGGATTATAGGCATGCGCCACAGTGCCCAGCCTTTGTGTCTATTTTTATACCAGTACCATGCTGTTTTGGTTACTACAGCCTTGTAATTTGAAGTCGGTTAGTATGATGCCTCCAGCTTTGCTCTTGTTTGCTTGTTTTGAGACAGGGTCTCTGTCACCCAGGCTAGAGTGCAGTGGCATGATCACAGCTCATGGCAGCCTTGAACCTCGCTGGGCTCAAGCCATCCTCCCAGCTGAGCCTCTTGAGTAGCTTAGACTGCAGGTGTGCGCCACTACACTCAGCTGAGTTTTTGTATCTTTTGTAGAGACGGGGTTTTGTCATGTTGCCCAGGCTAGTCTCCAACTCCTCAGCTCAAGCAACCCTCCCACCTCGGCCTCCCAAAGTGCTGGAATTACAGGTGTGAGCCATTAAACCTGGCCTAGCTTTGTTCTTTTTGCTCAGGTTTGCTTTGGCTACCTAGGTTCTTTTTTGGCACCATATGAATTTTAGGATTTTTTTTCTAATACAGTGAAAAATGATTTTTTTGCTAGGAATTGCATAGAATCTGTAGATTGCCTTGGATAGTATGGTTGCTTTAACAATATTATTTCTTCTGATCCATGAGCGTTGGATGGTTCTCCATTTGTTTGCGTCATCTTCAGTTTCTTCCTTGGGCTGTTGTTGTTTTGTTTTGTTTTGAGACAGAGTTTTGCTCTTGTTGCCCAGGCTGGAGTACAGAGGCATGATCTCAGCTCACTGCAACCTGCGCCTCCCAGGTTCAGGCAATTCTCCTGTTTCAGCCTCCCGAGTAGGTGGGATTATAGGCGCGTGCCACCACACCCAGCTAATTTTTTGTATTTTCGGTAAAGACGGGGTTTCATCATGTTGGCCAGTCTGGTCTCGAACTCCTGACCTCAGGTGATCCACCTGCCTTGGTGAGATTACAAAGTGCTGAGATTACAGGCGTGAGCCACCACATCCAGCCATGCTAGTTGTTTTTAAGCTACAGTTTGAGCACCTAACATGCAGTACACATTGGACAGGTGATTTATGTACATTAGTCCTGACTAGTAGCAGTTTGGGGGAGTGGGCTTTATCTTTATTATCCAGATGAGGGATCTTGAGGTCCAGAGAGGCAAAGAAACTTTCCCGGCGTAACTGTCAGAGAAGAGACTCAGACCTAGGTCTGTGTGACTCTAGGCCTGGGCTGTGACCACTGAGCTCTGCTCCTGGTGGAATGAGAGTCAGCTGTGGTGTCTCCATCAGCCTGGGCAGCCAGACTGTGCCTCATCCTCTTCCCACCTTCTTCCTCCCAGATAACAGCGACTTGATTGCGTGCACAGTGATCACTAAGGATGGTGGCATGGTCCAGCGATTCCTGGCTGTGGATATTTACCAGATGAGCTTGGTGGAGCCTGATGTGTCCAGACTTGGCTGGGGAGTGGTCAAGTTTGCAGGCCTTCTGCAGGTAAGATGGCCAGGAGCTCTGGAATCTCTTCTCAGTTGGACACACACACACACACACACACACACATTCTCTCTCTCTCTCTCTCTCTCTCTCTCTCTCTCTCTCTCTCTATCATCTTTATCATTAATTCCTAGTGATATATGAGGTATATGTGAACACATTGTCACCAAAAAAAAGCTAAAATATCACACATATGCACAGATGAAAGTAAAGTCCTCTTTGACCAAAACCCTCAATTCTTACACCTCCCCTCCACAACAGATAATCTTTATTGTCAGTGTGACCTTTCCAGATCTGTTTTTCTGCCAAATGCATATATAAATGTAACTATGTGTACTATTTTTTAAAATGAGATGCATATACTTGAGAGTGTATATGTGTGTTTTTTATGATGCCACTTTGAATGTGTTCTAAACTTTGCTTTTTTCATTTAATATCATCAGTAGTATGTCTTGGAGAGCCAGCCGCATTCATACACACAGACATCCTGGTATTCTTTTTCACTGCAGTGCGACTATAACAAGCCATGTTTATTTAGCCCATGCCCTGTCAGCTATTTCCAGTTGTCTGCCTTTCCTGAAGGTACTGCCACGAACGGAATCACTCTTACTTCTTTAGGCACTTGGGTGAGATTTCCCTAGGCTGATACCAAGAAGCTGAGGTGTACTAACTTTAAGTGTTAATAGACACTGCCAAATACCACTCTGAAATGATGGTTGCCACTAGTATTTTTGAGAATTCCCTTCTGCTTAGCGTCACTCCAGCAGAGCTAGGCTCTGACTTGCCAGGCACCAAATTGGGGCTTGGGTTTTGGGGTTTTTTTGTTTTTAATGTTTGCCGCTGTGGGCTGGGAGTGATGACTCCTGTCTATAGTCCCAACACTGGGAGGCCGAGGCAGGCAGATCACTTGAGGTCAGGAGTTCGACACCAGCCTGGCTAACATGGTGAAACCCCTTCTCTACTAAAAATACAAAAATTAACCAGGCTTGGTGGCAGGAGCCTGTAACCCCAGCTACTCAGGAGGCTGAGGCATGAGAATCTCTTGAACTCGGGAGGCAAAGGTTGCAGTGAGCTGAGATCGCACCACTGCACTCCAGCCTGGGCAGCAGAGTGAGTCTCAAAAAAAAAACCAAAGTTCGTCCATGTGATGGATGACTAGTGTCAGCTCATTGGGTGCATAAAGCAAAGAATCAGAAGAGGTGAAAGCAGCCCCCCAGGTCTCCCCTCTGCCATACCCCTTGTCCCTGGATGTCCAGCTGACACTTCAGGCTTGAGCTTTGCCCTGCTTCAAGGCAGTCCGTTTCTTTGCCAGCCAGCCCTGGTTTCTGGAAGGGCCTTACCGAGGCCCCCAACCTCTGCCTCGCCACAGCCTGACCTGCTGTCTGTGTCCCGCTCTCTGCAAGAGCCACCCACGTACTTGAAGCTGCTGTTACAGCCTCTTCCCCAACCTCCTCCTCTTCAGAATCCTTCTGTTGTAAAAGTGTCTTTTACAAAGTGTGATGTGAGAAACAACTATAGAAAAACCCTTCGTTTAAAAAAAGCACTCCATGTAAGACATTGTCCATTAAGTGACTTACGCTTATCTATCTAGGCTTTATCTCGGCTTATGATTAATTCTCTTTAGAATTTAGCGTCAGGAAAGTGTTTTCCTCCCCTGAAGAATTAATACACGTCTTCCATCAGACAATGAAAGCCACATAAACCTTTTTTTTTTTTTTGGCCATCTTCCAATAGCTACTATTTGTCAGCTCTTTACCATGTCCCCTGCTTTAAATGCAGAATACCTCATCCAATCCTTACTGCCGAGTTTTGATGGGGTGTTATCTCCAGAGAGCCCGTGCCAAATGTAATGCCTGAGAACCACAACCATCTTCCTCTGTGAGCCTTTTCCAACATTGTCCCCACCTCTTTTAACATTTCTGACTTTTGTGTTCATCCCCTCTCAGGCTTTTATATCAGATCACCTCAAACCTTGATGGGAGCAGATTCTCTATGAAGAATCCATTCTGAGGTTTTAGATTGGGTTTGTCTTTGTTATATATTGCTGCATGTTCATTACTTCTTCACCTTTGAAACACAGCTTCCTTCACATCTCTGCTTAATGGCTTTCCCTATCCCTTTCTCTTTTTTCTTTTCATTTTTTTTTTTTTTTTTTGAGACAGAGTCTCACTTTGTCACCCAGGCTGGAGTACAATGGCACAATCTCAGCTCACTGCAACCTCCGCCTCCCAGGTTCAAGCAATTCTCCTGCCTTACTCTCCCAAGTAGCTGGGGTTACAGGCACACGCCACCATGCCTGTTTCTATTTTTAGTAGAGATGGGGTTTTACCAGTTGACCAGGCTGGTCTTGAACTCCTGGCCTCAAGTGATCCACCCGCCTCGGCCTCCCAAAGTGCTGGAGTTACAGTAGTGAGCCACCACGCCCAGCCCTGTCCCTTTCTCAGGATTAGCTTTTCTCTTTTGGGACCAGAAATTTCTCAAAGATGTGCAAATGGCTGCCAATGATGTCCCATTCTTAGAAGAAATAAGGGAGAAATTGATGAGTAGATGAGTGATTATAGCTAAGATTATGCCAAATGGTGATAGGAATTTTGGTTCATTATTTCTGACTCCTCAGAAGTAAGAGCTTGCCTGTTGTGTTACTTGTAGCCTTTTGAAGAAGCTTATGGTACCCTCCTATTCATGGGCTGACCCAAGTCCTCATGGAAACAGGCACCACCCACCACCACTCACATCCTCTCCTTTGGGGCACTCCGTGCCTCCCACACTGTCTTCTCCCACTGGGCCTGGTCTGCCTTGTGCCCATCCTTGACTCTGTTGGACTTGGGAGGCTGATTATCTTAGATCAAAAGCAGAGTTGGATTTGGAGACCTCTTTCTAGATGTCACATGATGCCACAGCTTCTAGCCACCCTCCTCCCAAACCCAACAAACCCCTTTCTTTTGCTTCTCACTTTGCAGGACATGCAAGTGACTGGAGTGGAGGATGACAGCCGTGCACTGAACATCACCATCCACAAGCCTGCATCCAGCCCCCATTCCAAACCCTTCCCCATCCTCCAGGCCACCTTCATCTTCTCTGACCATATCCGCTGCATCATCGCCAAGCAGCGCCTGGCCAAAGGCCGCATCCAGGCGAGGCGCATGAAGATGCAGAGGATAGCTGGTGAGTGGCCAGGCCCTGGTGGAGTGTCCTCTGGGCACTTGGTGGGGCAGGGATGTTCGTGGTTCTCACACTGACCTTGAGAACCCCCATAGCATAGAAGAAGACACCCATGATTCAGAAATTGTTTTATGTGAATACGAGGAATGTCCCATTTCCTGGGTGTTTGGTTTCTGGTGAATTTCTAGGGCTTCATGGAAGAGAAGGGGAGCCCTCCCTAGCAGCAGGAGGCCAGAAACAAGTAGACGTCACTGTGGGACCACTCTTCTCAGCCCTTCACACTGAAATTCTCAAGCTTATGTTAACAAAGTGCTTTGACATTGCTCTACCACCTTCAGTCCTTGAAACAAGTCTGGAGATCTGTAGGGACTGCTCTGCCCATTTTACGGAGAAGGAAACTGAGGCTCAGGGACTTGCCCAAAGTCAGCAGACAGAACCCACAGGCGGAACTTCCTACTCCCGCTTCCCAGTTCTTAAAAGAGGTAGCCCTGCTTGGTGAAAGGCTGGAACCCTTGGAAGGAAGTCATTTTACATTTCATGGGGATTGCGGTGAATTTCTGAGGAAGTCTAACACTACCCAGTGTCAGGAAGGCCAAGATTTCTTAGAAACAAAGATGAGGGAGATGCATGCATTGGGCAGGAAGGCAAGGCTTTCTCCTCGGCTTTGCGGGGAAGGCATTCTGTCAACTCCTAAAACTATAAAGTCTTTCTCAAGATACCCAGTGCCATTCAGTTCAGACACCAGTGATCATCGGGGTGGCTTCTGAGAGGACTTTAGGCCTACCTGGGGATGTGGGGTGCTTTCTCAAGGGATAACTTAAAATAAGCCCGTGGCCAGGCATGGTGTTTCATGCCTGTATGTCAGCACGTTAGGATGCCAGGGCAGGTGACTCACCTGCACTCAGGAGTTTGAGACCCGCCTGGGAAACATGGCAAGACCTCGTCTCTACAAAAAATACAAAAATGAGCCAGGTGTGGTGGCACATGCCTGAAGTTCCAGCTATTTTGGAAGCTAAGGCAGGAGGATCTCTTGAGCCTGGGAGGTGGTGGTTGCAGTGAGCCATGATTGCACCACTGCACTCCAGCCGAGGTGATAGAGTGAGACCCTGTATCAAATAAAAAATAATAATCCCGCGGAGGGCCGGTTACAGATGCGGTGATTTACTGTGCTGATTTGCACAGGCCCGCATCCCACATCGTCATCCCCATCTCATTTCTCACTTAGCTGAAACTTGGCCTACGAAATCATTACTGAAGCATTTTGTAATGTGCAAAGTGACTTAAATCATTCAGCCCTTTCTTTTAAGATTTATTTTCAGAGAGATTTTTTTTTTCATGTAAAACAATTTCTCACAGCTGGCATGAAGGCCAAATATTTCATCTGAAAATTGAGAATTATGCTATAAAGTGGATGTTAGAACTAAAGCCTTGGGCATTTCTTAAATTGATTTTAAAAAGCCCCCCGAATGGATATATTGGGAGATTTGTTTATGGAAGGGAGGATAACGGCTGAGGCAGATAAACACCCACTCAGAGTTATACACGTACATGCACATACACGTTTTCACGTGCTGCTCCGCATGTGCAGATATACGTACACACATATGTGTGTGAACTCTCTGGGCAAAGTTGGCTCCACTCGCTTGGGGTCTGAAACGACTTCGTCAGGGTCCTTTACGCATGGAAGTTGAGAATCCAAAGTGGAAATGGACCCAGCATCCATTCTACTTGAGGAGCCCGGGCTCGAACGCCCTTCTCCTTGGTCACCACCTGAAGGCCTGAAGCTCTCACTTGGCATTTGCTGTGCCTTGAGCCTCAGTGGAATCTTTGATGTTGCGCTGGACTCCCCAGCTCAAGGCTGCCTGCCACCTGCTTGGCGTCTCCCAAGTGATGTGCGTAGCAGGGCCACAGCCACTACAATGTCCCCCCCCCGAAATTCTCACCACCCGCTCTGTCCCACATGTTGAGAATAAACCATGCTGTTGTTTGACTGTAGCCCTCCTGGACCTCCCAATCCAGCCCACCACTGAAGTCCTGGGGTTTGGACTCGGCTCCTCCAGCTCCACTCAGCACCTGCCTTTCCGCTTCTACGACCAGGGGCGCCGGGGCAGCAGTGACCCCACCGTGCAGCGCTCCGTGTTTGCATCTGTGGACAAGGTGCCAGGTGAGCCAGCCCCCCACCCTGCGCCGCAACTCGTTCGTCATGGTGGGCATTCGGGCGTTCAAGGCTTTTCTCTCGATGGAGCCTGTGCGAACGGCCCTTCCTCTCTCAGAAGCCCTGTCAGCTAGCAGCACCAGCTTCTTAGAATTTATCAAAGCTCAGCTCGAGATGAAACACAGCCCCAAAAATAAATTTTGGCTTTCCCTTTGGTGTTTGGTTTGGTTTTCCAGAGATTTTTTTGGGTATGTGGAAGAACTTCTCAGAATTGACTAAGAAGTTTCTTGGAAATTTCTTGGAAACATTTAAATGATTAGTGATGAGATTGTGGGAGAGTAATTTCCTTCTCCATGTAAGATGACTAGAAAGAGATAGTGAGTTTGGTTCCTGTTACAACCCCCTGAAGAAGTGAGACTTCAGAAGAAGGCCTGCTCCCAGGAGGCTAGCTGTCCACCCCTTCCATGTGAGGGCACCTCCTCCCTCTTTCCCCAAAGCTCATCTCTAACCCTCCTCCTCCCCGCTTTCCAAAACAGAAACTTGAACGGAAAGTTCATTACTGATTTGTCAGAGTGGAAAGGATCACTTCTCCAAAAGACCGAGTTCTCCCCTTCTTATTCTGACATATCTGCTTTAAGTCAATCTCTGTGCACCCCCATCCATGGGAAGAGAACCTTTCTTTTGACTGCAGAACTTGAGAACACTGGCCAAGCTCTCCCTCACAATGTAGCCCCTCCCTGTGTAGGGCTTCAAACTTAAGTTGCAAGTGTTGTGAAATGTTTTCAAAAGCAGTTACTGATTTAAGAGCAGTATGCAGCCATCTGAACCTGCCCGGAATCTGAGTCCTGGTTCCCCCAAGTGATTTATTTTAGTTTCATTATTTGATTGAACAAATTCATTTTTTATATGTATATGCTGTAGGCATATGATTTTTTTAAATCCAGGTAGGACATGATCAAGTGAAAAGTAAGTCTACTTTGCTTCAGAAGTAACTGTTGTTAACAATTTCTGGCCTGCCTTTCCAGAGGTAGTTCTTTGTACATCATGCATATGTTTGTTTGTTTGTTACACATGGGGTATATACCATATGTCTGATGCTGCACCTGGCCTCTTCTTCCGTAATGGAAAGTGTTACACATTAACACGTATAAATCAACCTAATTCTTTTTAACTGTTATATGGTATTTAGTCATCTGGGTGGGCAAAAAAATCTTTTTTGCTGTTTGGTATTTGGGTGATTTCCAGTGTCTTGCTCTCACAGTGAGCATCCTCAGGGTGTCTTTGTGTAATTGCGCAAATCTGGCATGTCTGTGTGATAAATTCCTAGCAGTGAATTTGCCAAAGGGGAAGGTTTTTAATCTTGGTATACGAATTCCCAACATGAACTCTAGAAAACAGTACACCAATTCACTTTGCCACCCATAGCTTGTGACTGATTTCTTTCTTAAAACCAGTCTTAGGTCTGGGCATGGTGGCTCATGCCTGTAATCCCATCACTTCGGGAGGCTAAGGTAGGTAGGTTGCTTGAGCCCAGGAGTTCCAGAGCAGCCTGGGCAACATAGTGAGACCTTGTCTCTAGTATTCTTGCCGGATGTGGTGGGGCGCACCTTTGGTCTCAGCTATACTCTCGAGGCTGAGGTGGGAGGGTCACTTGAGCCCAGGAGGTTGAGGCTGCAGTGAGCTGTGATTGTACCACTGTACTCCAGCCTGGGCAACAGAGTGAGACCCTGTCTCCGAAAGAAAAGAAAACTATGTTAGGCTGAGAGACTGATTGTGGCACCACCTCTGTTTTTAGCTATGAAGTGTGAGATGCCTGTCTCAGGGTCTGGAGGATTCTTTGTGTAAAAATTCTACAGGTTGCTTCATGCTCTGTAGCCATGATTGCTAAGTAAATATAAAGTACGACTGAGTCTCAATTAACTAAGTACAAATTGACCTGGTAAGGAATGACTTCTTTAGGGTCATGGAGGCATCTTTCAGTTTTGGGACGACTGGTTAAGGAGAAAAGCGTAGGCCTTATTTCTGCTTCGATCCCTTTTGAACAAGGTAGAGTGTAAATAAATAAATAGAGCCAAGTGGCGTGTTCTTCGGCGTCTCCATGATCATTTCTCTGTTTGCAGAATGCTTTAGGATGACTTATTGCTTACCTCTTCCACCCTGTGTGGCCTTCCAGTGGAGGGGGAAGATCAAGTGCTGGGAGTGTGGCCTGGCTCCAGAACCTGGGCCTGACTGGCAGGGCGGATGGCACAGCTGGGATGCCCCATGTCCTGTTGCTGGTACCAGGGTCAGCAAGTATGGGGCTGTGCCAACTGGGACAACAGAAAGTCAAAGGCGGTTGTTGAAGGCAGCACCTAGCCCTTGGCTGTGTCTGCCCTGCCTGTCCCTGGAAGTGCCACTCAGGTGTGAGGGGTGGGATGGAGACAGTCTTATTTATGCTCACCCCGACCCCCACAAAGAGAGAGGCCTCACTGCCTTCCTGCCTGGGCTTGGCACCAGAGCCGTGGCCTGAAGGGCAAGTGGAAATCCCTGAGCCGTGGCATGGTGGGAGCATAAGCTGCCCCCACCCCATCTCAGTAGTCAGGGTCCCCACAGCAGCAGCCACTCAGCACCTTGGACTCATTCTTAAATCTTTTCACCCCACTCCCACACCCAGCAGCCTGCTTGGCCTCTAGAAAATACTGAGATCTGAGATCTCCCCTCCCACGTCTCCCAGGATTGCAATAGAAGCCTCCTCAGGATCCCCAGCTTCTATTCAGCCAGTGGGATCCTTTTAGTCCTTAAATCAGATTATGTCATACCCCTGCCTCCAGCTTTCTGGTGGTTTCCTGTTGTACTTAGAACAAAATCCACATCTCTCCTTCTGATCTTGGGTGATGGCCGTGAGAGCTGGCCCCAACCAGCCTCTCAGATGAAGTTCCCCCTCCCCCAAGCTCACCCCAGCCTTGCCAGCCCCTGCTGCTCCTCTACGCCAGCATTTCTCACAGTTTTAGCCTTAGCACCACGTGTTTGTTTATGTACTTAAAAAGTACTACAGAACTTAAAGAGCTTTCATTTAGATAGATTACATTTATATTTATGACATTAGAAATTAAAACTAAGAAATGCTTTTAATATATATTTATTGAATAAATCCATTGTATGTATGCATAACCGAGTTTCCTATGAACAATAACTCTATTTTCTAAAACACACAAAAAAATGGATTGTGTGCATTTCTACAAATCTCTTTAATCCATGGCTTAATAGAAGACATCTGGATTCTCCTCTTTGCTTCTGTTTTCTGTCTGTTGTGATAGCATGCGTTCTGTGGCTTCTGGAAAACTCCTCAGTACACTCCTGGGAAAATGAACATAAAAGAAAAAAATATCTTACTATTTTTATGAAAACAGGGATTTCCAGACCACACTTTGAGACCCACTCCTGTATATCACCGCGGCCTTCCCTCCTCAGGCCCTTGCACTGCATGTCTGTCCCCGGATGTTGGTGTCGCTGCCTCCCGCTAACGGCTCAAGCTTAGTCTGTATGCTGCCTCTTCAGAGGCCTTTTCGGATCAGCCCCTGGCTAGGGTTAGGGTTGCCCCCTCCCTCCATCGCATTGGCCTGGTTCCTTTTATCCACAGCGCTGAGGTTCTTTACCTGGCTGATGCTTTTGTGCGCCTGCTCATAGTCTTTCTCCCCTGCAGAGAGAGTTGCCTGCTGGGAACCCTCTCTGCAGGGGAGAAAGACCATGCTGTTCACCCCTGTATCTCAGCGCCTAGCTCTGTGCTCTTACTCAGTGTTTGTTGAATGAAGAAAGAGCCTGCACTTGTTCTCTGCTCAGCCTTGGAAGAGAGCCCATCAAAGGCCTTCTCCCTTCTCTGAACACTAGACAGACGAGGTAAGTCCCTCTGGGGCCCTAGACACTTGGTGGTTTAGTCCACAGCGCTTTGACAAGGGAACACAAAGGAGCTAAGACCCCAGAAGACCTTAAGCAGCATCCCTCAGCTAAATTTCTGTCACCAAGTGAGCAAGATGTGTGTCCAGGGACCGTGTACCCAGGTGACAGATTTAGGTTGGTTGCATGTCAACTGAATTTCACCACTCTCCCGAACTCAGAGTTTTACAGAAGCTAAAGAGCAGCGCCAGAGTGGGAGCTGGGTGTCGGAGGGGGATTCGGTCATCAGAAGCCTGGCCCAGGTTGGCCTCTGATACTGTGACATCCCACCACTGCTGTCGAGGGCCCGTGGGTGCTGGGGCACGACACCTTCCCACCCTCCACAGTGGTGTCCCTCCCCACAGGCCACACAGTGTGGAGTCCTTGCCTCTGCCTGGGGAATAATTCACAAGGAAGAAAACAACCCTGGCTGCGTGCCCCGGGGTGGCTGCCAGACAAGTATGTTTTATTAGGATACGTCTTCCGATTTTATCTGCGGGCCCAGGTAATTGTCATAGAGCAGTTTGTCTCCCCTTTAGAAGCTATAAACGATTATATTTGATGACAATATGCCTTTCATTTCCTTGGAGGAGATATTAAAGTAGTGTATAAATCAGGGCTAATAGGTGACTAGCCACTTTGGTGTCTTTTTCTTCTTCCATTTAACTTAGAAAAAAGATCACAAATTCTATTTATTGGCTGATTTTATGTTGATGGCTCTCACCCTCACAGAATGTTCAGCTTCACAAGGGATTGTGCATGCACCTGGCTAAGGAGGGGGGCCAGTGGTGGCTGGTAGGTGGGGGTGGCCAGGCATGGCCGGGTCTAGCCTCTGGCCTGAGGTCTCTGTGGCTTCAAGGTGCCACGCTGCTGTGGTTAGTGCCTCGTGGACCTGGCCCATGGTAACAGCTGCTTCTAGAGATAGATGGACTCTGCCCTAATGGGCAGGGTGTCCAAAATTCACTGTAAGGCCATCCTTTCCATAAACTCCAAGTGGACCAGCAGACCCCAGAGTAGAGGCTGTTCCCCAGAAATTACTCAGGGGTATCGGGGGCTGTGGCTTCCCAGAGCAGCTTTGCTCCTCAGTCCTGGGCTCCTTCTGGCCCAGAGGCTGCTTCAGGAGGCCGCAGGGAACTGGAGCTGCTTGCAGGTATTCCCCTGGTGGGTCAGGGGGTGTGGGAAGCCTGGCAGAAAATACAACCCAGAAGAGCAGCCAGGCAGGTTGACATCTCCTGGCCCTTGCAGATGAGGGCTTAGTGACGTGACAAAAAAGTGACCTGTCTCCGCCTGGTTTACCATCACCTGCTCCTCACCAGCCTGTTAACTCCAGGGCAGGGACTGCTCTGCCTCTTCTGCTGCTCTCTCTCCTGCTTAAAACCTGCCAGTCCCTCCTGTCACCAGCCCCTCTCTGTGGCTCATGGTCCCATGCAGTCTGGCCCCTGCCCCCTTCTGGGATCAACTCCCAGCCCTCGCTCCCCTCGGCTCTCTGCAGATGACCCGGCCCTCCAGCCTCCCTGGCTGGCTCTCTGTGCCTCACCAGGGCCAAGCACATCCCATTTCAGGGCCTCTGTCTTCATGCTTCCCTCCACCTGGAGCCCTCTGCATGACTGCTTCCTTCTCAGCATTCAGGGCTCTGCTACCATACCTCAAAAAGGGGCCCTCCCTGAGTGCCCAGGCCACGCCAGTTCTCTGCTTCACAGCTAGGTTTTGTTTTTTTTAATTGAGGTGAAGTTTACTTCACATAAAACTAACCGTCTGAAAGTGAACAATCCAGTGGCATTTAGTACCTTCACAATACTGTGCCATCATTCCCTCCTCTAGTTCCAAAACATTTCCATCCCCGCAGAAGAAAACTCCATAGCCATTAAGCAGTCATCCCCCATCCTTCCTCCCCCCAGCCCCTGGCACCCACAAATCTGCTCCCTGCCTCTGTAGATTTCCCTAGCCTGGATATTTCATATAAGTCAAACAATCCGTGGCCTTTCATGCCTGGCTTCTTTCAGTTTGCGTCATGTTTTCAAGGTGCATCTATCCTTCTTTTAGCTGAGTAATATGCATTATATGGCTAGACCTTGATTTGTTTCCCCATTCATCCATCATTGTCCATCTGAGCTGTGCCTGCCTTTTGGCTATTGTGAAGGGTGCTGCTGTGAACATTTGTGCATAAGCTTTTGTTTGAACACCTGTTTTCAGTTCTTTCTGGTATAGACCTAGGAGTAGAAAGTAGGTCATATGATAATCTAACTTTCTGAGGAATTGCCAGACCGTTTTCCATGGTCTTCACAGTCCTTAGCTTTAGCTGAAATTGCCTCTTGTATTCCTTGTTCACCGCCACTCTCCTGTACTAGAATGGAAGGCACTTGGCGAAGGGGTGGGTACAGGGTTGCGGGGACCTTGTTTGTGTTGTCCTTGACAGTAGTGATTGGTGCCTATGAAGTAGTTGCTCAGTAGCTACTGATGTCTGGGTGGACAGATGGATTGGTGGATGGGAGGCTGGGGGACAGAGGATGTGGCTGGATGAATTGTTCAGTCCTGTTTTCCCAGCAGACTGTAAACCCCTAAGGCTGGGGCATTTCTGTCTTACTCAGGTCTGGTACCCAGTGCCAACTTGTGGGGGTTTGGGTGTGAGCTGGCAAGCTGGACTTCCTTGTGTAGTGCTAAGCTGGGCTTTACTCACTTCCTTTCCCAGCTTCCTCCTGGGTTTGGGGCTCCAGCTGTCTTGTGGTAGACATTTAACACCCCCGTATCACCTGAGCTCAGGAGTTTGACACCAGCCTGGCCAGTAGGGCGAAACCTCATCTCTACTAAAAATACAAAAATCAGCCAGGCGTGGTGGCAGGCACCTGTAGTCCCAGCCACTTGGGAGACTGAGGCAGGAAAATCACTGGAACCCAGGAGGTGGAGGTTGTGGTGAGCTGAGATCGTGCCACTGTACTCTAGCCTGGGCAACAGAGTGAGCCTCCATCAAAAAAAAAAAAAAAAAAAAAAAAAAGACATTTAACTTTCCTGAGTATCTGGGCCATGCCTTGCTTTTCACAGGTGTTGTCTTTAACAGTGGCGCCGACGAGGTCAGTTACGTGACACAAAGCACTTTAATAGTTCTGTGGGAAAGCCTCAGTGGTTCCAAAGGCAGCCCTTGGCAGCTGAGTAACTTAGGAAGAATGCAGAGATGACAGTGTGCTACGAGCCAGCTGAGTTGACCACGAAGCCTCCGACCACCATCCAGAAAGGAAAAAAGAAAATCAATGTTTCATTCATAGACATCAGTTCAGACTTCTCCCCTGAGGATAATGTCCTAGGTGCTAATGTCATCTCATAGTGGCATTTCCCAGAAACTAATTTTTTAGGCCTGTTACTTTTCTTGTTTCTGATTATAAAACTGGAGCCAATTCTTTCCTTGCAGCTCCCCGAGGCAAAAAATAACCTTTCTGGAGTCACACCGGGAAGGAGGACCTAAGGCTTCCTCCAGCTTCTCTAGCTGGGCATTAACCCTTTCCCAGCCGTCAGCTCACTGCTTAGAGACTCAGGCAGGCAGGTCTCTCAGGCGGGTTCATGAGTTACAGGAACTTTAAAGCAGAATTTACTGAGCTAAGCACTTTATGCATTATTCTTATTCATGCTTCCCAACAGCACTCAGAAGGAAGGTGTTACCATTTTCCCTTTCTGCAGGTCAGAAAGCGGCCTGCCAAGGTCACACCAAATACCCTCCCCCCAGCGTCAGACCTTGAGTCCCACCACCATGCTGAACCAACTTTTAAATTCATCGCTGACGTGAATTCCCTTTTTCTGATTTTTTTTTTTTTTTGAAATAATGGCCTAACAGCAGCTGTATGAGGCGTCACTGGTATCAGGCAAAATTACATTGTCAGCTCCAGTTCTAAGCTCTGCCTGGGTTAGAGTGTCGGAGATCAGGAGGATAGGCCCTCCTTAGAGAGGGGCCTCAAGGGATGCCCCTGGTCCAGACAGAATGCCCCACTCCCCTCTTCCATGATCCACGCTGGCATAGGCCCACGTCCTCACTCCCCAAGACCCGCTTCCAGTGTATCAAGGACAAACCTGCAAAGCAGCAATTCAGAAAGATGCTCTGTTCTGAGACCACCACTTCCAAACCAGGCTAGCAGTGCAGGGCTCGCCTCTACAAGTTTGTCCCTGGTATGCATGAACAAAAAGCAGAAAAATGACTTCAAAATCCTGCCTGAACAAAAGCAGCAGGATTTGAGCCCCTTTCCAAGCAATTGTCTCTTAAGAGATCAGCCTTCAAGTGGTGAGGCGGGGGTGTGGGGAACAGATCCCACTAAAACATCAGCCCTGAGCTGAGTCTAAGGGGTCTCCTGTTTGCCAAGCCTCTTTTCAGGGCCCCAGAGCAGCTGTGAAGAGAGAGAGAGCCTCAGGGAATCTGGAGTTGGGTGCTCACAGCCAGGGAAGGAACCACGTTTTTGGATCTGGGCCTGCAAAGTCTCTCCCCGCACACAACATGCCCCCCAAATACTCTTTCCCAATAGACACAGTAGCGCTTGCTGTGGGGAGCCCTCTCTTGCTAAATATGGACACAGCAGGCAGGGCTGGCTGTCTTGCCCAGACACTTTTCTGGGAGGTGGAGGGAGGGAAAGAAGAGAGTTCCAGAGAACTGAGTGTTGCTTCACTCTTCGGGGTCATCACCTAGCTCAGACTGCCAAAGCGACTGTATGCCCAGGAGCCTTCTGGTCATAAGAGTGTGTCAGATGACAGGGAACACTCCCTGCTTGCTAAGAGAGAAGCCTGTGCAGGAGGTGTGGGGAGAGAACAAAACCCTATGTGCAATCTGCCATTTGACCTGGGCTGCGCCGTAGAATGTTCTGTAGGCTCGGGTGGGCCCACGCAGGGCAGCCTTGCCAGCAGCACAGCACAGGCAGGTGTACTCCAGTGGCAGTGGCAAAGTGAGTGGCTTGGCCACACACCCTGTGTGCTCACTGGCACGGGCCTGGCCCCATATGCAGGATAGAGCTCTCCAGCCTCATCTCCCAGCCTCTTAGTATAAGTCAAGCACATTTAGTACAGAACAGTCAGAAAAGACGGGAAAACACAAAGAAAAGATCGACCTCACCAAATCTTGCCACCCTGGGTGTCCATGATCAGTTCTAACGTCCTTTTTTTTCATTGTTTTTTATGTTCATTCACAGTGGAGTTTCTTTTTCCAGTAGTAGAGTATTTGCCCAGGTGAGAAGCAGCAGAATGAAAGAACCCAGTACAAGCCAGAGAGTGTGGGCCCAAGTCCGATCCTTCCACCTCCTCGTGAAACTTGTTAGGTGGCCTTGACCCATTTAGTTTACCTTCTTGGATCTCAGTTTACTCATGTAAGAAACGGGTGATGTTCAATAATGTGAGTGGACTTAACAACTGAACTGCAGTCTTAAAAATGGCTCAGATGATAGGTTTGGTTATGTGTACCAAAACGGAAAAACAACAAATGGGATGAAAATGTCACATACCTCATTAGGCTCTTGTGACATAAAATGAGTTCATTCACCTGAGTGCCCAGAACAATGCCTAACCCGTATAAAACATGCAGCGAAAGTTAGCTGCTCTTGGCATTTTGTTGTTATTGTTACTGCTGAGCCTTGGGACCCCAGAAAATAGGTTCCTTTTCAACACATTAAATCAGTTTGCACAAACAAAATTATAAGTGCAGTAGCTCCTTCTGCTGTCAATAACAAAGATGCAGCAGTGACACAGAGTTGCTCTTTTCACAAAGGCTTTCCCTGGACGTTGTTAAAACACTGGAGTGTAATGGAGCAGGCAGAATTTTCTTCCTCACACAGAAGGGGTTGTATGTTCTGCCTGAGGCCCCACAGCTCACAGTGGCTGAGCCAGGGCCAGAGAAGAGCACAGATTCATCCCCGAGGCCTCTAGCCCAGCACACATCCTGTCCCCTGGGGTCTGAGCCAGGAAGTCCCCATGGAGCACCTCACAACAGTTCTGGGAAGCCAGTGTCATTCCTCAGTGCCCAGTGTCACCCAGTTCCCAAGTGGTCAACCAGGGCTCCCTGCTTGGTACTCCGTGAACCACCATGCCCTCCGTTCTAAAGTGTTTTCAGAGGCAGAACACCTGAAAATCAGGTGTGCTTTGGGAACCTCACCAAGTCTTGCTGTATTCTCCATCATGTGAACCAAGAGCACAGAAGTCATCAGAGAACATGACTTGCATCTATGTCTCAAATCTTTGTATCTAAAGGAAAAGTCCGTGAAATCACCCACGGAAACATCCTAAGCCTTTTTCTGTTGATATTTGTTTTTCTTTTCTGAATCATTTGTTTTATCAACCGCAAGTTCTCATTAACAGACAAGTGATAGCAGATGTCAAGGTTTGAAGGCCCCTTTATGGCAGAAAACCCAGAAATGCAAATTTCCTAGTCCTTAATTCTATATCTGAATTGATAAAAGTCCACGTTGATTTGATTTTTAGCCTTGAATTATCCCTGACTAGCTCAAAGACAGTACCCTGGAACAAGTTTTGAAACCACTTTCCCAGTTTCCAAGAATTGGAATGCCTTTGGGATCCAAGAAAATGTTAATGCCAGCCAAGGACAGTGACTCACTCCTGTAATCCCAGCACTTTGTGAAGCTGAGGTGGGTGGATCACCTGAGGTCAGGAGTTCGAAACCAGCCTGGCCAACGTGGTGAAACCCCATCTCTACTCAAAATACAAAAAGTAGCTGGGCATGATGGTGCATGCCTGTAGTCCCAGCTACTCAGGAGGCTGAGGCAGGAGTATCGCTTGAACCCAGAGGCAGAGGTTGCAGTGAGCCAAGATTGTGCCACGACACTCCAGCCTGAGCAACGGAGTGAGACTCCACCTAAAAAAAAAAGTGAAATAAGCAGTATTGCCAAGTGAACAGCTGGTGGGAAGGAGAGTTAGTTAATTCATGAGGACCCACTAAGAATGGGAAAAACCAACTGATCAAAAGGCAGAGATGCAGTAATAATAACAATGGGGCCTCAGAGAAAGGCGGAAGTCATTAGGTTTTCCACACGGCCCTTTCCTTCATGCCTCTCATGGCCCCTTCAAAGCACGGTAGCTGCTGAGGGCCAGCGTATGGGACCGCCTGGTTGAAAAGAATTGGGGTGGGAGAAGAACTGGCATTTTTAAAAGGAACTTTTACAATTCCAAGGAACTGGCATGACAAACGTATTGACCAGGGTCAGGAAAAGGAAGGTTGGTTGAGCAAGCGTTTACTGAGGCCCTTGGTGAATCAAATAAACACTGCACAGTGTTTACAGAGAAGCCTGGGGTTGGGGAGAGGGACTGTGAGCAAGTCTTGCCGGTGGGTGAGGCTCTGCAGCACTTCTGGCAGGGCACGTGCAAAGGTGTGGCTGCAGGGAAGGGGTGAACAGAGAGCTGAGAACAGAGAGCCGGGAAGCTCAGCAGGGTCCGATGGCAAAGCGCTTTGTGAGCTTGCTGCAGGGTTCAAATTTTATCCTGGAAGCAGCAGAAAGCCATTGAACGTTCTAAGACAGAGCAAGGGGACATGGGTGGTGAAATGGACTTGGGTTTTTTGTTGTTGTTGTTGAGATAGAGTCTCGCTCTTTCACCAGGCTGGAGTGCAGTGGCACGATCTCAGCTCACTGTAACCTCGCCCTCCTCGTTTCAAATGATTCTCCTGCCTCAGCCTCCCAAATAGCTGGGACTACAGGCACGCACCACCACGCCCAGCTAATTTTTGTATTTTTAGTAGAGACAGGGTTTCACCATGTTGGCAGGATGGTCTTGATCTCCTGACCTTGTAATCCACCCACCTCCCGCAGTGCTGGGATTACAGGTGAGTCACCATGCCCAGCCTGGACTTGGGTTTTAACTGGAGTTGGGAAGGCAGGGGAGAAGCGTGGAGTGGGAGGGGCATGAGACACAGGCCCCGTCACTGAGCCCTCACAGCTGTGCGTCAGGTGATGCTAATGGTGATGGGCAAATGAGAAAAGCCCCACGGGCTGCTGCGCGGCCTGCCGTACCTTTCTCTGGGCATTTGCCACTGCACTTATACTATAGGATTATATTGCTTGTTTAAAAAAACCTGAATGACCATTGTTTTCACTCAACAGCATATCCTGGAGTGCTTTTCATTTTAGTTCGTAGGTGCACCCTCATTTGTTTCTGACTGCTGCGATCATCTGGTCAAACCACTGTTAATTGAGCCAGTCCCCTTCTGATGTTTAGGTGGTGGCCAGTTTTTTGTCCCTAAACCAATAATAGGTACCTCCAAGTGCCCTTGCGCAAGGGTTTCCCCAGGGTAAATAATCATGAAGTGAATCCAGAAATAAGCTGTGAAACTAACAGAATTTGCTGACCCCTTTGACTGGGGGAGTGGGAAGCCACAGAGCTAGTTTAAGGCAAAATGTTAAGGAGCCTTGGTTTCTGTCCTCTAATGTTCTCTGTGCATTTAGCTAGCAAGGGCATCTCCATGATCCCAACTTCTGACTCAACAGTTCTTGTGACTTGTCGGTCTTGTTCTGTCCAGGAGGCCTTCAGGAGTTGTGGTGATTGGAAAGGTCCCCAGGAACTGGTGGGGGTCTCCAGGGACTGGCCCACTCATAGCTTGGCTTGTCATCTCAGACAGAGCCTCCAGGCTTGGCACGATGAAGACACCAGTGGGTTCTGTTCCCACCTCCTGGCACCTCTGCTGAGGTTACAGCTTTCTACACTTCATTTCTCTCTAGATCCAGAATCCCATGACTAAAATACAGTTTTCTTTATTTGCAGCGGTCCTGCCACGGCATTTAGTATAAATGTGCTATTTTCCAAAAACACACAGTATTATTTTTTCTTAACATCTCAAATTCCCAAAGGACCAAAAGTCAATATTATCCCAGTGTGATGGGAATGGCTGTTTTGCAACATCTCTTCACACTTAAACAGCCTGCTTCCTGAAGCCTCAGAGTCATCACAAAAGCACATTCTAAAACCCATCAGACCGGCTGCTAGATTGTTTGACTATCTCCATCACTCCCTGCTGTGAGCCTAGTCCTCAAAAGTCGCCTCCTCAGTTTCCATGTTGAGTGTGAGAAATTCACAGCGTGATTTGGGGAGCAGATGCTTCAACTGTATGAACTACAACGTTTGGACTGCCACGTGCACTGACTCCTCTGAAAATATTTGCTAGTTGGTAAAAATTCAGGCTCTTGGCATATGCGGTCTACTCCTGGCCTAGAAGTCTTATTTAGGGCCCCAGGATAACAGTCCTGCTTATCAAATGCCAACTGTGTGCCAAGCACTGGGCTAGGTGCTTTACAGAAAATAAGGTGATAAGTATGTAAATACTTGAGAGTTATTAGTCCTGCTTCTACGGCTGGGGCAAGCAAGAGTCAGAAAGCGAAGTCCCCTGCCCAGAGTGTCAAAGTTCGTCCCTGGAGAGCGCCTGCTTCTTCTAACTCTTGTACCAGCTTCCTGAGAACAAAAGTTATCTCCCGTCTTTTGTTCTTTCTTTTCCTGCTAAGTCAATTTGAACGCTCTGCAGAGTTTCTGGGGTAACCTACATGCCCCTTTGTTGTGGCGTTCTGAGCACGATGACCTCACCGGCCCACAGCTGTGTCTCTGGTGCTGGGTTCCAGGCACACTTCAGCCTGCTGCCTCACGGATGTCCTGTTGAAACTCAGGGACAGCCAGCTGGCAGGAAAAGTCAGTGTGGCTGGAATGAGCCTACCCCAAAAACCCCCACTACGCCCCTCAGTAACCTGGAAAATGCTCTGAAATAGTTGACATGCTTGGGCATTTGGGGAAAAAACATACTTTTTTTTCTGCCAGATTTCCAGCCTGAAGCCCAAGGGAAATGTCCACAGGCCCAGCACAGCGGTCTAGCATCTTGAAGCAGTGCTTGGCCTGGTGGAGGCCGTGGCTTGCCCATCCTGCCCTCTCTCCACCTTCTTACTCTACCTCCAGCAAAGAACAAATGCAGAATCTGGCCTGTTCTCCTGTCCCCACCATGTCTCACAGAGTTGCCCTTTGTGCTGGTCCAACGAGAAGTACCTGAAAGACTTGCTCAAGCTGCTGGACTTGAGTAGCTTGAATGCCACCATCATCAGAGCATGCTCTGTGCCTAGGTATAAGTCATTGTGCTGTTTAAACTGTGCCAAGGCCCTGCCAAGGGAGCCGTTGCCATCAGGAGGCTAGGGCCACACGCCCTGGAGCCGGACCCCCCAGGTTCAAATCCACATCTGCTTCTAGACAACTGTGATGTCAGGAAGTTCTGTGAAGCTCCTGAGCCTCCGTGTCCCCTTCTTTCAAATGGGGCTGATGATAGGACCTGCGTCACAGGGC